AAATATACTAAAATATTACAAAGTAAGCCTTGTGTTGGATTATTTTGGCCAATTGTGAGATTAGCAAGTAGATGAATACATTTAATGTAGGCTAAGCTATGGTGCTATGGTGTGCAGTAGGCTGGACATATTAATTCATTCTTACTTCTCCCCCCTTCATTAACCTGTACTTGGACCAAACTCAGGGATTCACCCTTGGTAGGTGAATACTCTACCACTTGAGTCACACTCAGTCTAAGAACTGTTGACTTGGTTTCAGTTACAACGGGCTTATCAGATATAATTCCATCATAAATTGAAGAGCATCTGTTATTTTCTTAGCCTTCTTTCCATTTTTCTATTCACTGTAATTCTTTTCCTTTTTATTTTTTTTTGGTCAGTTGGGGGGCTTGAACTCAAGGCCTGGGTGCTGTCCCTGAGCTTTTCCCCTCAAAGTTAGTGCTCTACTACTTTGAGCCACAGCGCCACTTTAATTGTTCTGGTGGTTAACTGGAGGTGAGTCTCATAGATGTTTCTCCCCAGGCTGGCTTCGAACTGTGACACTCAGATCTCAGCCTCCTGTGTGGACAGGATTACAGCTCCCAGCTTACTCTAATTCTTGTAGATAATAGCATGACACTGCCTCCTTTTTTACCCCCTTCTGATACACAAAAAAAAATAGTAAAGAAACAGCTCAGTACAAAAATCAGTGGGCTCTGAATAAGGATACTCCTATGAATGAAAATCAGAGACTTCATAGTACCTATTCTGATTATACTGGTATCTTTATTTCCTAGGGATAAATAACCTTCAGATAAGTAACCTTTATTTTACTAATATATATATGTATGGTTTTTGTTTTGTTTTTTTTAAAAAACTATTGTCTTGTTTATTATCACCTGTAAAGCCTGTTAAGCAAGGCCTTCATTCAATGGCATCTAGAACAAAATCTGAAGTGACAGGGAATGAGTGTGACAAAATTCCAATGTGCTTATTTCATGATAGGAAAGAGAATATTTCAAAACTGTAGGGACACTAACAGAAATGAAATCTAACTTGAGTGCAAAGACATAAAAATAAAGAATAAAATAAAAAGGAAGATAATGAGTTTATGTTTAGAGACTACAGTCAAGCATAAGAATATACTGTATAAACACCTAAACAAGCAGTTAATTATGGAAGAGGATAAAGAAAACTGAATAAAACATGAACAGAACTGTATACTACTGAATATCAAATCAAAATACTAGCACATACACAAAGTTGGTATTAAAAGAGACATTCAGAGCTAAATGGATTGCTCAAGTAAAACCTGCATGTTTTGAACAGTTTTTTTGAGGTGATAAACATAATTAAGTTTAAAAAAGAAAGACAAAATATAACAGAAGTAATTAGCATGGAAAAATAAGGGACGTAAATAAAGCTAGCTATTGAAATAGGAAGCTAAAGGAATCTGAGGAGAAAGTTGAATAATAGCTATATTTCTTCCCTACAATTAGGAGGAAAAAGAAGAAAGTTTAAATGTAAATCTGAAAAACAGAAGCAGTATAAAAAGTTAGTGATGATAGACACCAAGAAAGGGGAAATAATGTGAAGAAAGGAGGAAAGGAGGTAGGGAGAGAGTGAGGGAGTGAGGGAGGAAGGGAGGGAGAGAGGGAGAGAAGGAAAGATAGGAAGAAGGGAGGGAAGGAGGAAAGGAGAGAGGGAGGGAGGAAAGGAAGGAAGGAAAGGAGGGAGGAAGGAAGGATGGATTTGCTTAGCTACTGCAAAAGTACATATTACAGGGCATAATTCACAAATACACTTTTCTATAGCAACAATTAATTTGCATTCAAAAACTGAATAATCGTGTGTGTGTGTGTGTGTGTGTGTGTGTGTGTGTGTGTGTGTGTGTGTGTGTGTGTGTGAGAGAGAGATCAGGAAAGAAAACAGGAAAGCCACCTGTAAAAGTACACAGGTATTACCAGAATTAATAAAGCATACAAGAGAAAAATGAATACCAACAGAGCCAAAATGAAAATGTAAGCAACAAAACAGGCATATTTAAAAAGAATCTGGGTAAGTAGCAATTACAAAGCGAATTATTTTTCTATTCAACGGGACTAAAATTCTTCATAATCCTCTAATCCATTCCTACAATAAAAGCAGCTTAAATTCTAAACCATATTATCTATGAGCAATTATTTCACAAAAAAAATGCCTAAATATGCACTCAATTTTCGGAAATTTAAAGTGTGTTTCTTAGATACTGTTTACTCAATCAATACAATGTCTACAATAACCTGATTTTATGGATTTACCAATTATAGATGTAAAATATCTATTGTTAACACTTGACTCGGTTAAGAAATATCACACAATAAAATTCTGGTTCCCATATTTCAACCTTTGTAAGCTTTTACCATGTAAATTTTCAATAGTTTGATCTCAAGTGGCAAGGGGACTCCATAACCTAGTACTTGAATTAGCTGAAGCTCTAAAAAGTAATGACTACTTTCAATAAAGTGTCTTTAAATATACAACTTGAGCAAACACTTTGGAAGAACTCAGCCTACTTTTAAAAAAATATATATAAAAACCCACAGTACTATGAATACATCAATCTTGAAGTCATTTAAAATACTAATGACTGCTTTTTAAAACCTTTTTTTATTTTTTAAATTATCTTTAAGTAGTTGTACAAAGAAGTTCCCATTCTACAAAACAGTATATGAGTACAAAGTGTCTGACAACATTGTCACCCATCCCTTCTCTCACTTTTTTCTTTAATTGAAATTAGGTGATTACATAAATTTCACAGTATTGTGGAATAGTGATACTTAGAGTCACAAACACATTTTAACTTTCACAAAGCAAATTGTCATTATCATGGTCTATACATTTTGTGAATTCTATGAGCTTTGACAAAATTATTTTTTCCACATCAGGTAATGTTTACATGTCTTTCCTTTTGCTTAGTTTAAAACTTCTTTCTACTTGCCCATGTAATTGTAACCCCTCGGTACAGTATCTCCACAATAAAAAAAACTTCTTTCTAAACCTGTTGTCAATTTTTAAATGAAGCTTTAAAAATATTTACAGTGAGAGAATAGTATAAAATCTAAAAGCTGTCTAAGTGCTAAACTAACAATTTTAAGAAAATCTGTTGAAGGGAAAAGGAACCAAAGACAACTACAAAGATGAACACATCTTTAAAAATATGTTGTCAGAATCTCAAACTATTCGGTCCTCAAGGGAAAAAAAAAATCAAACTTCCAAAATCAAGGATTTCATCATTTTCAAGTGCTATGATTCATTTTATATACAAATTGACTAACATAGAGAAATATCTTTGCAAAGTGATAAGACATGCTCTATTAAGGCTTTATTGCTTTGAGGCCAAGTATAAGCCATAAAAGGAAACTGAAGTTCAATGTCATTTATTATGTTTCCCTCTTTCAAATACCTAAGAATAAACACTTTTGCTGCCTAATGCTATGTTTCGAATCATAAAGTAAATCAGTTAGGCATCTCAAATTCCTTAATAAAGGTAGTTTGACTTAACAGGAAAATTATTACTAACAATTTTTTTTCAACCTTCAGGGAAACAATTCACTAATCAAATCTAGAAACAAAGCAATACAGAGCAATAAAAAAAATTCTTTTTGAGATGTTCTTAATAAAAATATGCAATAGCAAAGAGCAAGCTGTAAAATAAGTTGATCCTGACCTTTAAGACAGATCTCTTTCCACTCAGGAAAGGCAATTCTTTTTCTTGAAATTTCTAGCAATTAATTTGGTACCATTTGATGAGCTAATTTATATTTAAAGGTACACACTAACAGAAAACTGAATTTAATATTTATTCAAAGTACAGTATTCTCTTTCACGTCCCTTTAATACAAAAACACTGGGGAAAAGGTAAAAAAAAGAAAAAAAGACATTACAACGCCACTGAAAAGAAGTTGGAGTTTGCTGCAGGCAAAACTAGTTTGGTGTACGGAGACTACCCATTGGTTCCAAGTGTTGCTAACTGACTGAAGGAATGTCTGCCAAACGTCACGAATTCCTTCCCGCACAGCCCCTACCTATCTCTTATTAGGCAGAACCAAACGAAAACAGATGGGCCAACACAAAAATGTGAAGACCGTGCAACTCAAAGAGCCCTGCTTTTTATCACCAGTTCCCATGAAAGTCGCCTTAGGAGCTTTACTTCCCTTCTTACTCAATCTCTTCTCAACTGCTCAAATTCCAACAAACCAAAAACACGCTGTTTTGTTTTGTTTTGTTTTGTTTTTTTCTTACCCCTACCTCTCCTTTCCCCTAACCCTTCCCACCTCCTTTTCCTTCCTAATGGGTCAGTTACAAGCAAAGTCTAGCGAAAAACTGCTTTCAGTTATGTGCTAAGCAACACTCAGGTGCTGAATTTCCGAAAAGAACACACTCCGACACACACACACACACACCCCCAAAAAAGACAACGAGAATGGTAAGGTTTGTTTCTAACTTCCAACACAAACGCACCCCTAAAGATTTGGGCAAACAGATCTCCCGACACGCACGCGATCAACACAAGAAACCAAAACATAAGCCCAGGCGGCAGCCATCTCAGGAACCAGCAAATCACTTTCGGCCGCGACCTTTCTTCCCACACAAAAAGTTGCCAAGTTCGGCAACTCGTCGTGTAGGGTCTACGTTCCAGAGAAGTAAAACTTGGGGACCGGAGGCCGAACAAAGGCAGCTTTCTCCGGACGGCCCCTACGTTTCCGTCCCACCTCCTTCTGACGACCTCTTACAAAAACACAAACCCCAGAGTCCAGATGGTAGCCAGGAGGGAATGAATCCGTTCCACTATTTAGCTCCGAAAACGCCATTCAGGGAAGGATTTAGGACAACTTGGGCAGAGCGGAGAAAGAAAGAAAGGACCCACGACCGAGCGGGGCTTTCCGGGGAGGCAGTCCGGAGGCTCGCGGACCTGGCGTGAGAATTACCTTTCGTCCGGACCCGCGTCTCAGGGCAGCTGCGTCGGGGCTCGGCGGGCCATGATTTCCTCCCTCGCTCGGTCCCCGGGAGCCAGCCGAGTGTCTGCGTCGGGGGAGGGCGGATGTGGGGCGGCCTCCCGCGGCCCGGGAGTGGGTGGCGGCTGCGGCGGGGGGCCCGGGGTGCGGGCCGGCTTCCTGGTACCGACTTTGGCCGGAGTTTCCCAGCCCCAGCTAGGTTCTCCGTCGAAGGAGGGGAGGGGGGAACAACTTTTCACTCGTGACACCGCCCGGAATTGCCGTGCGAAACTCACTTCCTGCCTTGGCGAAAAGCAGGATCCAGCTCGGGCCAGGGGAACCCGGAAAACCAGCTCGGCGCGCGCCGCCGGGGGGAGGGGACGCGAGCCGAGCCCAGCGGGGCCGGGCCGGACCGAGGGGGGCGTCGGCCGCCAGCCGCGGGCTCGGGGCCACCGGCGGGCCGCGCCGCGCACACCCGACGGCGGCCCAACGCGGCCGGCGGGGGCGAGGACGCGGCCGGGGCGCTCGGCGAGCCTGGGCCGCGCTAGGCCGCCTCCGCCTCGCCGCCACCCCCCGAGCCGGGCGGCGGGGTTATTGTCTCGGAGGCGCCTGCCGCGCCCTGCGCCCGCGTCGCGCCGGAGCCCGGGTAACCGAGGAGCCGGGCGGGCTCGGCGTCGGCCCCCTCTCCGGGCCGTCGATCGGTCCTTCCGTCTGTCCTTCCGTCCCTCTTCTCCGCCTTCTCCACTCGCCCGAGAGCCCTCTCGGCTCCCGCTCCCGTTTTCCCGCCGCCGTCCCTCCGCTCCCCTTTCTCGCCTTCCTCCCCGGCGTCCGAGGCTCCCCGGTGAGGCGCGGGCGGCAGGGGCCGGCGGCAGCCCGGTCTCCTCACGGGGCCGCGGCAGGGGGCGAGGCTGCGTCCCCCCACGCCGCCGCGCCGCCTTCACTCGAGTGAGAGACCGCGAGGGGAGGCGAGGAGGGAGGGAGGGAAGGAGGGAGAGAAAAGAGGCGGACCGGGGCAGGGGCGGGGGGAGTCACCGCCTCGCAGACCGCGGCGGCTGCGGCGCCACCGCCCCGGCGGCGGAGGGGAGGGGGCGGGGCTGCCTCCCGCCGCCTGCGCCCCCGCCGCCTGCGGCCGGGCCCAGGGGCGGCGCGAGCCGGGCTGCGCGCGCGGGGGCGGCGCGGGCCGACGTCGGCGGCGGGCCGGGGGCCGCGCGGGAGGCGCCGCCGCCCTCGGCCCCGCGGGCGACCCCGGCCGCGCTCCCGTAGCCGCGACCCCCGGCGGCCTCCGCGCGCCCAAAGCCTAGTGGACGGGGACCCCCACCAGGCCTCCGCCGCCCACCGGCCTCCCGAGTTTCTTTGTACGGCTACGATCGGTGCCCGGGGGTGGCTCGAGCCCCGTTCCGATTTACAGGCAGCAGGTATCTGTTTTCAGCCGCTGCGCTGCGACATCCTCCGCAACCTCAGGTCGCAGGAAACCACCGCGGCGGCTCGGCGGAGCTTCCCACGCCCGCCCGCAGCCCGGGCTCCCCGAAGGCTCGGCCTCACCCCGGCCGCGAGACAAAGCTGGCGCGGGGAAGGGGAAAAATGGCCCGCGAAGCTGCCTCCCGGTAGCGCCTTTGTTCGAGGAAACACGGGGTGCACGCGGAATGCGACCACGTAGGCGCCGGGCCCCGGCCCTTGGCGGCTGCAGTTGTTGAATTGCGCTGGCCCGGATCGTTCCGCCTGGCAGGGTTTGCGTTTATTGCAGGGAGAGACTCTTTAAGCATTCTGTCAACACATATGGCATCGAAAGCCTCAACCATAACATTGCACAGTTTTCACACTTGCTGCTTTAAATATGCTAACAAGACGTCCTTGTGTTACCCGGAGAAGGAAGGAAGTAGAGAGCAAACCATCCTACACGCACGCACACTCGGCTGTACTTAACTGGGTACAGCGAGGGTGATTAGCCTCTGGGTCCCTGAAGTCACTGGTTTAGTTCTTCCATCTGTACCCCAGAGATAAATGTATTCCCAAATTTGAATAGAGCGCTGTATGCCCTACAAGAGAGCTTGTATCCAAAGGAAAAAAAAAAAAAACCAAAGTCCATCAAAGAATGATACCAAAGTGAGTTCTTTGCTATGACAAACACTTGAAATAACTCCAAAGACAGTCCCTTTGAATAGAAGTAAGCATCTTAGCCACTTACGGAATCAGCACAGGTTTAAGTTCCTTAGTAAACAGCAGAATATTTACAAGAATACCGAAGAGCTTGGAAATGGCAGATAGCCATACTGGTAATACACAGATGGATATCTAATTTATGTGACTATGAATGGGAACCACTGCACACACAAACATCCTAAACCTAGAGTATTGTACTGGCCGTTTTTAATAGTCACGAGCAAGGTTTCTTAGTCCACTGTTTTGAGTCTGACCAGAATCCGGTGGCATGACTCTAAACTCAAAAGGTTGTTGTCTTTAAGCATTCCATGAAGAAGCATGTTCCAAACCAGTGGAAAACCAGCTGGATCCTGCTATTCCAGTGTTACATCTTGTCTCAGGTTAATTTTAAACCGTATTAATGTTTTTTTGTAATTCCGTGCAAGAGAACTTACCTAGCACACACAAGGCCTTGGGTTTGATACCCAGCACCACAAAAAAAAAAAAAAAAAGTACTGTACTATACATTCAAATAAATCTAAACCTTCCCTCCAAACCACAATAAGTAGAACCAGACAACATCTGCAGGCAAAAATCTTGCTTTGGTCCTAGCCTCTCTTAAGTTTAAATTCATACCCAGGGCCAATCTTGGAATCTTTCAGGCTAGAAAAGTCCCTATAATCAAAACCCCATCTCTACCATTCACCATTCAGGCTTTATCCCTCAGAGTTTATTTCTCAAGCACCAAATCATAATCCTGGGAAAGGCAGTGTTTTAAGCCTTACTATTCATTCATACCTAATTCATCACATTGTTTCCCTAAAACAGCTTTTGAAAAATAGAAATAACATATGCTGAATCTGAATAGATAGGAGAGGGAAATGTATCTCAATTCCTTGGAGCAGCATATGGAAAATAGAGCAATACTGGAATATAATGATCATCATTTGATTGTTAAATAAGTCCTGCTTACTCATGCTGTAAAAAATGTATCGCAAAACAGTAGCTTTAAGAGATTGGAAGCCAAGTTATACTTGTCAATAGCCATCTACATTATCAACTCGTTCTTTAAAATCATCCGTTTATAAAGTATCTTCCCAGAAATTCTGTATCTGTAAAATTAGGAACTATTTGATCAGGATATTCAGTAATCAGAGATAATGATTCATCTTTGTTATTCATCACTGACTCTAATTCTAAATCATATGAGCAGCACACACAGAAATAGCCAAATCTTCCATTTGGACTTTCTTACAAGGCATTCCTGTTTCATGCTTTTACAAATTCGTTTCCTTTGATAATCCTCCCACAGGATCTTGAACTAAAGATGGATGGACTTTTCATTTATAATTAAACAGAGAACTAAAACCCCACCTTTAACAAGACTGCCTAGCTGTGATTCTGAAATGATTAAATGAATTCCAGGACCACCTTAGAGAGTAAGCTAATGTATTTGAGGGTAAAGCATCATCTTTGCATTCCATTTCTCTGAGATTCTCTGTAAAGGGCCTGAAATACTTCTTTGGGATTCCCACTCCCAAAGCTAGAGTTCAAGAAAGAAATACTGTCTGCTAGAGATAAGCGACATTATCTCACGACAGCCTGAAGGCCTTAAGCATTCCATGGAATCCACAAGGCATCCAAAAAGAGCTCAAAGAAAAAGTATGTGTACTGTTTTCAAAAGGACTCCCTGTCAGAGCAACCAAGCACAAGCACTGGGAAGGCCAACAAAGCACAGGGCAAGGGAAAGGTTGAAATCATTATTCTTTTCTCATTTTCCTAGCCCCCATCAAAGAATTACTTGTCTAAAACCATGCTTTTGTCAGTTTCAGTGTTTAGGAAAAAGGAATCTTTGGGCTAGCAAAGACTTAGATTGAAAACATTAAATGAACTAGGTCAAAACGCGCTGCCACGTGTTTTTTATTAAGCATTTGACTTCTCCATTTTCACTTCCATCTTAGCTTCTTGATAAAGGGCAGAAGGTCAAGGGGACCAGTCTGGAAGAAGGGATTATTGGATTCAAAAGAGGCAGGACATTTTATGATATTATACTATCTGGGGGATGAAACTGCCCCTCCCATAACACCTTTCTACCTTTCAAGCTTATTTTCAATAATATTTTATGAATTACATGAAAGATTTGCCTCTATTTGTGAAAGGCTTTCTGAAAAGTTTTGAAGTACTTTTTTTTTGAGGGGGGTGAGTGTGTGTGTGTTTGTGTGTGTGTGTGTTGATCCTGGGGCTTAAACTCAAGGCCTATGCTTAGTAGCTGCACTTTTTTGCTCAAGGCTATCACTTTACTACTTGGGCCACAGCTCTACTTCCAGCTATTGATAGTTAATTGGAGATAAGAGTTTCATGGACGTTCTTGCCTCTTGATCCTCTGATCTCAGCCTCTGATTTCAGGCATGAACCTCCAGCATCTTACAAGTAGTACCAAGCCTCTATGCCATATTTTTCTTATACATGCACAACTATGAGAAAGTTCATAAATTAGGCATGGTAAGAGACTAAAAACAGTAGTGAATAAAATGGAAGAATTACGACAATATACTATAATAAAAGTTATGTGGATATCTTACTGTTAAAAATATTTTATTGTACTATCCTTTCCCTTCTTATAATGGTGCCTATATAATGAAATAAATGATATGACATAGCATTAATCTATTACATAAAATATCCTGATCACAGGCACTGCAATACCATGACAATCTCTTAACTGGGTCAGCTCCAGAGGACTAGTGGGTGGATAATATATACAGTGTGAATACACTGGACAGGGATGATTCACATCCCAGACAGTACTGAGCAGAACAGCATGAGCTCCCATCATACTGCTCCCCAGAACAGCATGCCATTGAAAGCTTGTGAATTGTTCATTTCTGGACTTTTTCATGCAATATTTTCACACCATGGTTGACTATAGGTAATTGAAATTCTGGAACATGAAACTGTGAATAAAAGGAAACTACCAAACAGGCTTGATAATATTTTTTTTCTATCCTAACCATGTTGTACCCTATCAAAGTTAAATTTATGTTTAGATGAATTAAGAAATGTTTAAATGTGTGGAGGAAATCCACAATGCCCAATGATTATGTTGTGTGTCTTCTGAAACAAGGCTGCTGGTATGAGCAACAGGGCTGTTGATGGTCTTGGGCAAGAACATTTGCAAAAATAAATTTGAGCTTCTTCATCTCCAGATTGGGGACTAAAATACTAACTGCTTCACAGATCACTGGGAAAACTAAATGGAACAATGTTAGTAAAGTGCTCAGCACATTACTTGGCAGAGTTAAAAGTGGGAACTATTATTAGCAGTGTACTTTCAAATGAACTATAATGCGACTATGTAGCCATCACTGGGAAGGCCACCACAAGTCATCCAAACTAGACCAGTTTGAAAGTGAAAGCAGCACTAGTAAATAAGAGTTACATTGGGGCAACAAATGTAAAACCAGACCTGTTTTGGACCAACTGGGGCAAATGGTCACCCTAATAATTTCCATCGCCATTGCCTTATTCTGGCCCACTTCCCTTCTCTAGCCCTTCCCAGTATGAATCATCATCTATTTCTATCATATTTTAATGTGCACCCTCTTTCTATATCATCGCAACATCAGCAAAGCAAGGTCAAATGCTGATACTCATTGCTCTTCAGTTCAAGCTTTTATTTAGAAATATGTGTGCACATTGAAAGTGGTGCTGTGGCTCAAGAGGTAGAGTGCTAGCCTTGAGCTGAAGAGCTGAGGGACAGCGCCCAGGCCAAGTTCAAGCCCCACAACTGATGAAAGAAAAGAAAGAAAGAAAGAAAGAAAGAAAGAAAGGAAGAAAGGAAGGAAGGAAGGAAGGAAGGAAGGAAGGAAGGAAAGAGAGAGAAGGGAAGGAAGGAAGGAAGGAAAGTAAGAAAAGAGAGAGAGAAAGGAAGGAAAAGAAAAAAACATTAAAAAATTTTAGAAATATTTGTGCACAGATCTGGGTGTAGTGACCTGTGCCTATTATCCCAGCATTCAGAAGGCTAAAGCAGGAGGATCGTGAGTTTAGGTCCAGCCCAAGCTATATAGTGAATCTGAGATTAATCTGGGCTATGTGGCAAGACTGTCTCAAAAAAAAAAAAGTTTTATGTTACATATTTTCTCTCATTGAGTAACAAAATTACTCTTTTCCTACTAACTTAAATTTATACTTCATGAAGTAAATATTTTTTCATAGCATTTTATTTATTTTCTGCTAGTACTTGATCCAAGGCCTCAAAATTACTTAGCTTGCTTGCTTATGGCTGGTGCTCTACCATTTGAGCCATGACTCTAGACCTAGCATTTTATTCTTCAAAACTACTTAGCATTAAAAACATCAGGGGCTGGGGGTCTACTCAGTGGAAGAGCGCCTGCCTGGCCAGCACAAGGCCCTGAGTTCGGTCCTCAGCTCTGGAAAAAAAAAAAAAAAGCTGTAAAAGACCAAAAAAAAAAAAAAAAAAAACCAAGGCAACTGCACACTTAGCATTAAAAACATCAT